CAACATTAATCTTCAAATAAATTCCTTAAAAAATCTAAATATGGAAATGTTTTTCTCAGTCTTAAAATAAAAACGGACAAAACGCTTCGAAAAAATTAGCTCAAATAAACAAACAAAAATTTAAAAAATATTGATTTGGTATTTGTGCTCTATTTATAATCATGTTCATTTATTAAAAACGGTTATTTCAATATTACATACACTCAAATTTAATTTATACGTATAAGATTATTTGAACAAAACAGATAATATGCAAAAAAAAATAGAATTTTAAATTTAATTTACTGCATAATTTGCCACAAATAACATAACAAAAATGAAAAATAACAATTAAAATAACCAAATATTCTTAAGTTGTTTTGAGTTCAGCAAATCTATGGAATTCGGCAGTAAATTGACGTTCAGTTTCATTTTACTATTATAAAGTTCAAACTATTATATGTACGTATTCTCAATCGAAAAATTGTTTCCAATGCAATTAATTTTAAAATATTTTATATTTGGAATTTTGAACAATCTTTTTGGTACCCAAAGAAAGTATTATCATAAGAACTTAAAAAATCTTTCAGTTCTTTCAAGAACAAAATCCGAAATTAGCAAGCTAGGTGCCCTGGTAAAAATGTAATATATAACGTTTATCATTTCGTTACAATTTAGTCAAAATTCTATATTAGGCCACTTTTCTGTATAAGCTTATTATTATTTTCATAATAAAAATATGCCACGATACTAAAGTTATACCCGATTTTTTAGCCATTACTAATTATTATGAATACTTATTTTTCTGCAAGTGAATTGTGAATTGATGTGAATTGTATTAGAATTAATAATTTATAAATATATGTTACGATAACCCACCACAAACTTGGCTAAGGCCTTCATGAAAGCCAAACTTGAAAATGAAGTAATGTCAGCAATAAAATACAATAATATGTAATAAAAACAGAGTAAAGTTGATTTTTTTGTCAAAACTTTTTTGTATATGCAGTAAATTATTATTGGGTATTTTTAAAATATATTTATTTGATTAATTTAATTTTAAAATGCCTTTATCAAATTACTGGAAATATTATACAATCATCAAATCTATTAACATTTTAATAATAATAATTACTATAACCTGTCTCGCTTGATTATTATAGATTGGAAAAAACATGAATGAATGTGGTAGTTTTTAAAAGTAAGTAAGTAGAGATATAACAACAACAGATTAGCATTAAATTAAATAAATTAAATTGAAATGATGTTACAAATATTATTATATTAAATAAATACCGCTGAATATGAATGTGTTTTATTCATTTTTAGAAATGATAATTTTTCAGTTGCATGAGACGTTTATTATTACAAGAAAATAAATCACATTTAAAGTTCACAAACTTCACTGTTCATATTAGATTTGAAAATAGCGTTTATAAATATACAGGGTGTCCCAAAACTTAACGTCAAGCCGAAATGAGGTGATAGTATTGACCTTAACTGTCCAAAAAAATGTGATAAAAAATCTCACGTTGTTTGAAAATTATGAGCTTTTAAGTGCAAGTGAGCTTTTATATTGTCGTTCTAAAAGTATTATTAACGGTTATGGGTCCAAAGTTTTAATTGATAAAATTAATTCAAATTAACAACAATAACCGAAAAATAGTGATAATTTGACGAAAGCTCTGGGTAGCACTGGTAATCTCATAATTTGCAAACAATGTGAAATAATTTTTCTTAATTGTTCAGTAAGAAAAAAAAATCTCACGTTGTTTGGAAATTATGAGCTTTTAAGTGCAACCTAAAGCTTTGATAAATTATGACCAAAATATGCCTAATTTTTATTTTTTACTGCGGTTTTAGAAATGTTATTCACGGTTATGATTCCAAAGTTTGAATTGATAAAATTAATTCAAATTATTAACACTAACCTAAAAATAGGGATTATTTGACGAAAGCTCTAAGTCGTACTTGAAAGCGATATAACTCAAAAGTTTATGATAGCAAAGTAAAAATAAAATTTTACGGAGAAAATAAAAATAATCTTTTGATCTATTTTTTTTTTTGAAGGCACGAACAATTTTGCAGATATTTAAATAGAGGGGAATTGTTTTTTTTATTTGGAACGATGAGAATTCATAAATTCAGCATATCGCATTTTCTGCAAAAAAATGTTAACCTTTCCTTCAGGAAATAAAAAATCGCAAGAGGATAAATAAGATTAATCTAATGAATTCAGATGATAATATAGAAATATGGGATAACTAAATCTACTGCTACTATAATAACATATTAATGCAAAATTAAATTTGTAGATTTATAATGAACTTTCATTAAAAGTAACGACAAGCTTTTAAAAAGTAATGTGCATTATTGATATTTTTCAAATTCAATTCCCAATTTTTTGTAAATAAATTTTACATCGACTCTAGCGTCCCCGAAATATAGATTTAAAACCATAATGGAAATTTACAAGATACTGCAAAAAATAAATTCTTTTTTTGTTTTATTGCTCAGAATAAAACCCCCAAAAAATATTAAAACAGATTTGTGCGACTTTTTATTAAATAAGCTATCTTACACAAGTGAAAAACTCATAATACCTTTAAACTTTTTCATAACTATTTATAATAGTAATCAATATAATTGGTCTACATTTCTCTACGTATTATTTAATAGACGTACAAAATATTTGATTATCAATATTTTCAATACCATTTCTATGAAATATTTTAACATAATTACCTAACTCAATACTAAATATTCATGTTTCAAGTTTGATAACAAATATTGTGCAAATAATTAGAATAGAATATAGAATATTTCAAATCCGTAGTCCCTATTTATAAGTATGTCTATAATATATTAATAATATGCATATTGTACTTTGTCATGGCTACAGAATATTCTAATTTTAATACAAGAATTGTATGCTCTAAACAATTTGTTAATCAATAGTTTTAACTTGATTTTGGTAACCATCTTAAATTTATATAAAAATAAATCCTTGTTCTAAACTTGAATCATCTAATATATGTATATAAATAAATACATATATAAATATTTTTATATTTATATAAATATATATAGTGATTCATCAATTAATTTTATAGTTTCATTTATACATAAAAGGTAATACTAAACTTTTTTTAGTTATTTTAAAACAACGCAAAGTTGTGGCAAGTCTATAAGCTAAATTTTAACATTAAAGGATAAATGACATTAAGGGGCCAATTCTGCGGTAAAATAGACGATAACATAGGGTTGTTATGGCAACGCTATATATCATTCTTTCTTGGTACTAAAAACTGTAAAAATGTATATCTATGTGCTGCGTTCAGGCGTTTTACACAAAAAAACCGTACTTGATAAATGCGCAGTTGTAATAACATTCTTTCTCGTTTTTTTATATCTAAATACGCCTGATCGCACAACAAATAAAAATTTTTTTACAGTTTTTAGTACCAAGAAAGAAGGATAACATAGCGTTGCCATAACAACCCTATGTTATCGCCTATTTACTGCAGAATTGGCCCTTAAATGTCAGTTACACCAAGGGTAATGTACATTATTTATTTAAATTTTTAATGTATATACGTATTCAGGTATAGTAGTATACATTTATAATATATATATATATATATATATATATATATATATATATATATATATATATATATATATTACTAGGGTGGTCCTTAATATAGTCATTTTCAAATTCCTTTGCTCCCAAGGGCTCAAATGCTTCCAAATTAATAAAAAATAAATTTCTAATAGTTTTAACTCTTAATAATAACATTTAGATAAACCGAACTTTAATCAAAAGTTTCATATATTTATTATTAACATATGTCATCAAGTAAATTATTGCGCCATCTGTAATGAAATGTGAACTCAAATAATATGACACTTAAAAATATTTGTAATTCACTTAACCTCTAATTAAATCCATGTGGGCTATTTAACGAAATATTTATTTACTATGACATCAAAATTAATTTTGCAGCAAAATATTTATTTAATTGGTGATGTAGAAACTCAAATTATCAGTAATAAATTGCCATCAAAACTACAAGTGCTAAAAGTATGTTATCACTGATGGCGAAAGAATTTACTTAACGACAAATGTTAATAATAAATATATGAAACTTTTAATTGAAGTGCAGTCTATCTAAATGTTAATATTAAGAGCTAAAACTATTATAGAGTTATTTTTTATTAATTTGGAAGCATTTGAGCCCTTGGGAGCAAAGAAATTCGAATATGTCCATATTAAGGACCACCATAATATTTATATTTTTCGTACATATTTTTCTTACATAAGATTTACAAAAGAGCGCGAACACTTTTCTATGCAACATTATGATATTCATACCATTTAATTAAATATTCGAGTTGAATGCTGAATTTAATTATTTATTTTTAAGAAATGCTTTTGCTTTACATTGAAACTATATTAAAAACAGGGTTTCACTATTCACTATTGAGTCTCTAACAATTATAGTATAAAATATTTTTTGAAATTTTGTTTTGGATACGATATGTATTTGTGGTATAAAATAAACGCTATACCATGCGAATAAAATTGATCAAATATTTATTCACTTGTGGTAAGTATATTAAAATTCAGTCAAATGTTTGTAAAATTGTTACTAGTAGTAAAAAAAATATTTTGGAACAATATACGAGTAAAATACTGATCAATTTGTTGATCGAAACTTCATTGGCTTCGCTCTAATTATTTTTTATTACAACTGCGTAGTTAATAATGTTGTCTTGCGAAGAGCATACAATGTTATGTTCCAGCTTTATAAATACTATTCTTTTCTTTCCGATATTTATTTAAAAAATATATTATTATGATTATAAGATTATTTATCATCTATGCCAAACTGTCTCTGATTTCGACATTAATATCATAACATTACACAGATTTTTGTAATATCGCGCAGTTCTATAAATCTATCGATAACAATTAAAATAATCGAACATCAAAGCATTTGACTTAATTCCAGGGTTTGTCAAGCTTTCGTAACCTGTCTCCGGAACATGTGCAGTATTCGCCAGAGCATGCGGTTCAAATATTGCGCTTTGGCGCTGTGACGAATCAGGATTCGCCAGGTCATGAATAATAAAAGGACTTTCACGAATCTATCTAGCCATAACATCCTGAGAAAATTTTAAATTTTATTTTTAATATAGTATTTTGAATAAAATGCCAACCCCATGAATGAAAAGCACATAATGATCCCGAATGAAGCTGGAATGATTTTTTTATATATCTGCGCAAGAGTTGAATTATATATAAATATTAGTTGGATGCAGTAAATGAGATGAATAAACCTAAAATCTCTCTAGCCATAAAATATTCTGAAGAAATTAAATTAATTATAATAATTTTTTTCTATAAAATGCCAACCACATGAAAGCACATGATGTTCCAGAATGAAGCTTGAATGTAGTACTTATATTTTTATTTATGGTTATATGTGTTTTATACAACGATGTATGTTTTTTATATACATATATTAGATGTAGATATATTAGAATAATCCTTTCTCGAAGCAATCTAGCCATCACGGAACAATTGAATTAATTTTAAAAGACTTTCTCCAATAAAATGCCAACCCCATAAATGAAATGCACATAATGTTCCAGAATGAGCATGAATGATTTTTTATTTATATACATATTTTAGATAAGTGAATGAGATGAATAAAGCTTTCTAAAATCAATTTAGCCACAATATTCTAGAAAAATTAAATTAATTTTAATAGATTCTTTTTGAGTAAAATGCCAACCCCATGAATGATAAGCACATGATGTTCCAGGCTAAGGAATAAATTGATATTTTTATCTATGTATATATTGTATTTATTTATATGCATACATTAGATAAATTCAGAAAATAACTTTTAATGATATATTTGTGAATTGAAAAGTGATTCTACGACAAACTTATTCCATTATGTTTAACAATATTTTGGCAAAAAATTATTAATAAAAATATCTTAAATATTTTTGATCGTACCGTATTGTTGTTTGAGTGTTTGTTCTACTTTTTTATTATTGTATTTTAATATATATATATAATAGTTAATTTTTATGTACGTTAAAGTTATATTATGATTCAGTGTTACTAATGAGAATTTTTAGAGTCATAATTCAGATTTTTAATTCATTATATTTATGTTTGAAGAAAATACACTAATTTATATTTATGTAACACCATCAATAAATTTTTGACCGCAGTTTTAAGAAAGAACAGCAATTGCTGTTAAATCAATTTTTCTGATAATTGATTAAAAAGTAAACTTATTTCAATATCGAAACGTGAGATTTAATAAGTAATTAATTTTTGTACAAACATCAATAATTAATATAAACTTTAAAATTAAAGACCCAGAGAGATAAAACACCCAATCTAAGAATAATCTAATCAAAATATCTTATAAACATCATTCAATATAAAATTAACATGATCTGACTAATGATTTGCTTATGAAAGCGTATTAAACCAATGTTTCTAAAATCCTGGCACTCCATATAAGCCGATCATTCTTGATATTTTTAAAAATGATAAGATAATCTAATGCTTAGTTAATTGCTATGATAAGTACATGATGTACTATTGAGTGAAATAAAACAAGAGAATTTTTATTCGCTTGTTAATTTGAATCAACTATATCTCACCATATGCGTATATTGCACCAGATTGTAAATGGAAAATTTCAAAATAATCAAGAACACTTGAAAAAATATTATAAATTGGTTTGGTTCTTCGTCGAACCAAATATGACGCTAATAAAAAACAAAATAAACTTACAATCTTTAGTGGTAAGGTAAAAGACAAAAACAACGCCTCAAATACTACTATTTACTGTACTGGAGTCTTTTGGGTCTTTCCGTATTATATTTAGTAACAACCAGGGGACTTAACGATTCAATTATGTGATAAATGGCGACCGCGGCCAATTTTCGTATTTCAATCGTCGATAATAGTAGTAATCGTATACTTTCTTAAAATTACGCAGAGAAAATTATTTGCTCTACTTTCAACAGAATTAATGAATGATTAAGTGAATGCGATGAATGAAGCACGTTAATAATGAAAAATGTTATTAGTAACATATAAAAACCTTCCACCATATAACCAACACCTTCCAAAATGATCTATTTTCAAGCACTTACCTTTGTAGATGCACCCTAGCTTTCGGCAGCGTCGAATCGTCCTCCTTCATAATATATCTCCTGGTTCCTAAAGCGTAGCATTCCAAATATTTGGTCCAGTCTAATCCGGTGACATCGAATGGAAATTGGGTTCTATCCTGTTCACTCAAGGATCGCCACAAACGTTGGGCGTTGTCATTTGGAAAACGCCATTCGTGGGTTGTGAAGAATTCCAGACAAGATGTGGCACGGTGCAGTTTTGTTTGGACGTTCAACATACTAGAAAGAAAAGGATAGGTTAAACAGATATAAATATTTAGGAAGTCATCGTATTCAAAATAATCTTTCACTATAATAAATAGAAATTTCATAGTCATTCTTATTATTAATCAGAACCAATAGAACAGAAAAATTTGTTCCTAGTTCAACAGTTTACTATTATTACAAGTCCAAATCGCTTTTGCTCAAAAATTAAAGAGCCCGTCAAAATTTGCCAGGTTTCTTTGCGATTGAAAATCGAGGTCTAAAGTAAAACCAAATCAATTTGATGAACAGTTGATTAATGTTGCAGCAATTGCAAACCCATTATTCCTAATTCCTAATTCCTAAAATTCTTACCGGCTATTTTTGCAAAAAAAAATCAATTTACTATAGATCAAATTATTGTCATGACCAAAAAAATCCGCATTTGAATAATATTTTGTAAAATTAACTAAAAAATGTAAAGCTGCAAAAATGTGCTAGCAAGAAATGAACTCATACGATCAATAAAGCTTAAAAAACACCAACCAATATTTTTATTATGATCAAAATCCTTTTTCCACTTACAATGGTTTCTTTCCAGAAAGTCTAGCCATAACATCAATTAAGTACGCCGGAATAGTATGAAAAGCCGTGACACAAACTGAGTTATAAATGCGTGATCTCTTGAATGAACCTCCTGGGTACCACAGTACACCAGAGAATGGATTTCTCAAAAGGCTTTTGTGACCCTCACTCTCCAATTGACCCCAAGTCACTGGATTGACGGCTCCTGATGTGCAATTGTACACGGGAATAGACGAAGGTCTAAAAAAGTGTATTAAGCTCATTATTGTCAAATGAATAATTATAGTGTATTGATAAGTTCTACACATGACACCTGTTAATTCCCGTATGCCAAGCTACAGTAATCAACAGATTTATACAAACGTCAACTGGCATGAAATCAGCTAGCAAATCTCTGTGACAGACTATTGTCCTAAGAATACCTGTAAGAAGAAATAAATATTTAATTTATCTTAGAAGAATTTAGTAAATTCAAATCACTATAAAAATATTTTGCCTGACCTTTGCCAGCTCCAGCCAAAAGTCCTGTGGGTCCGTTCAAATTATCGACCCATCCTGGTAATGGTTCCTTCCAAGCCGCCGTAACTAAAATAAATATTTGATACTGATAGTTTTAAAAACCAGTTTAATAATTAAATGATATAATATTAATAAATGCTTTTATTATGTTTGTAATGTAATTTTATTAAGTTGTTCCTATTTACCTATACTAGGGCGAACGATTGCCACTGGCAAACCTGCACTCATTTCAACTATTACGCTCTCAGCCATAGCTTTGGTAAATGTGTAAGTGTTTGGTCTATTTCCGATTAATCTAAAAATTTAAAAACATCATAATTATTTTATAATAGTTATATTCATAAAAAAATAATCGATGGTTTGAAATTTTTACAATTTTTGGCAACCTGTCCTATCCATTGTGCAATGAGCTTCGTGCATTATTAACGCTTTTATCCAAACTGAAATTTTTGTCTTAGTAGTAATTTTATTAAAATCTAGATTTACTTACGATTTTGTAACAGTGTCCAATATCTGATCATCTAGCACATCGATGCATTTTATAACGGTTTCTGGGTCGGCTGGTGGAGGATACACTTTTTCGGCAACAACCTCTTGGTCGCAATTGCAATAAGCTGTACTCACGTGAACAAATGCCTATTTTTACATAAATAACAAACAAATAAATTATACGAATTATAAATTAAAAGTGTAATAAATCATTTTTTTATTTTATCGGATGAAGCATTCTCAATTTGGAAAAAAAGCACTATATAATACTGATAATTAACCATTAAAATCATTTAATTTGACTTCAATAATTAATTTCATATTTGATCGACATCTAAATATACTGGCTAACTATTTTTCAGTGCTTATTAAATTTGTTGGTGTCACTTCAAAAAAGCAGTATTAAATCATATCTTCACCAGAAACAAAAATCGTTAAAAAATTAGATTGATAAAAGGTAGAACTTCGATCATTAATTAAGAACTGAATATATATTATTAATTTTACCTCCAAATTTGTCATTTTCTTTGCCAGTTCTACTAATCTCTGCATGCCCAGAACGTTCATTTCCACACTTAATCTGAGCTTTTCATCAAATTTAACAGTTGCCGCCGAATGGAAAACGACGCTGATTTCTTGTTGAAGTAACTGCGCGTGCTCTGCACTCAAGCCGAGACCAGGAGACGTGATGTCACCAGGAATCGCGTGCAGCTTCGAAAGCAAATGTGGTTGGTTTCTTCTTATTGTATCGAACAACTGGAATTAGAAATAAAATTAAAATATGCCACGTGTACTTGTTAATTAATATATCAAAGTTTCTTAAGAATATAAGGTTTAAAGATTGGTACAGATATTCAACAGATGGTTGGTACAGATATTCAATTAAATGTTCAGATTGAAATTTACAAGTATCGAAACAAACTTTGTTAGCACTTGGTGTCGGCCAAAAAAATCTAAATGGATTTTTTTACAGAAGACAATATGCTAACGATAAGATCCTCTTGAGCTCTTATTAAGGCAAAGACAAAACAAGGTTTGTGGTATCTTCTAAGATGAGATTCCGCAACATAGCTTCCAAGCTATCAAAAAAGCTCTGTAGCCATTTTATAATAATGTAAACGAATTAAGCAAAATACCTTTACATTTTTATCTATTCAAATAAAACCTAGTATGCTTTGTACTTAAATATGTGAAAATATGTTCGGAACATGCGTAACAAAATAACAATAATAAGCAATAAATAGTACGTTGTATAAAGTTTGAACGTTGTTCTCGAAACCTAAAAAATTCAAGTTTACTGTGGAACCTATTCTGCCGCATAACAGAAAAACGTTATGAAAGGCTATGTTATGAAGATCTTTCCATACGAATTTGTTCTAAATATTGACAAAATCTATGGGGTTTGCAGTCAGGCGTTTTTCTCAGGTTGTCAGATAAAAAACCTAACCCAGAAACCGCATAAATGTCAAAAAACAAAGTTAGATAATAGGGTCTTTCTGACTCGACTTCATAACATACAAAAGACGTTGCAGTTTATGTGTAAAACGCCTGAATGCACAGCAAGTACATGGCATTTTGACAGTATTCAGTATGATTCAGTACCATGATGTATGAAACTTGAACCGTAACATGGCGTTGCCGTAACATTTGTCTGTTATGCGGCAGAATCGGTCCCTATATTTCAAATAAATTAATTCCCTTACAGTAATTCCTGTCATCTCTCTCAGCCTCTGTTCCGGTTCGACACCTCGTTTCGGCCTAAGGAGCAAATAGACCCTCCTGATTCCTGGACAAGAGCGCAACAACTTCTCAACCAATACTTTGCCCATGAAACCAGTAGCTCCTGTGACCAGGACGCATCTTCCGTTGTACCAGGAAGAGATCATTGCGACGTTGCTGCTCGAACCAGCGCCGCCGTTTGCTATACTCGAATGCGGTGACTGGTCTGACATTCTGGAAAGAATAACAATATCTAAGTAATTTGAAAGGTAAGAAATATTACTTTTTTATAAAAAAATTAACTAATTTCAAAATTTGCATCAATAACAAACTGGCATTGGAGATAAGTGCAAATAAATATAACGTATAAGGGTAGTCTTTAATATGGATGTTTTTGAATTTCGTTCCCATGAGCTCAAATGCTTCAAAATTGATAAAACACAATTCCCTGAAAGTTTTAGCTCTTAATATTAACTTTAAAATAATCCGCACTCCAGCCAAAAATAAAAATTAAATTTCATAAATTTTATGAAATATATTAAATTTTTGTGGTAAATTTTAAATTTATGATTAAAATAAGCGAATACAATGTTATTCTTAAAATTTTGATTCACTTTGTCGCTAAGTTATAAAACAAATGGAATTTTACCCATGTTATTTCCATAGAAACTTTGGTTGGAGTGCGGACTATCTCAAAGTTAATATTAAGAGCTAAAACTTTCAGAGAATTGTTTTTTATCAATTTGAAAACATTTGAGCCCCTGAGAACAAAGAAATTCGAAAATATCCATATTAAGAACCACCCTGATATATATAGTGCTTAACACTTATCATGGATATGTAAATTATCCATCAACTTGATGGTATCAATTAAATTACTATTTTGAAGACAATATTATAGAATACTACATGTATTATGAACTTATGAAATATAAAATAAAATATGATAAATAAATTTTATTTATCATTTAAATTTAAATAAAATTAAAAACGTTTATATATTGAAAAAACAATTAGCATGATTGCTCTCTCTAAATGAAAATCTCAGATTATTGCTAGTAATCTCAACATATTGTCTTGGTCAGTAAAAATAACAATAACAAATTACATTTTGGCTACACTCAATAAGACTCTTTAATAATCTAAAAATTTATTTTGAATTTCTAGGTCCAATCAACAAGAATCTTAAAATAGCCTTAACTTCAGCAAATAATCTGACAATTTTTTAGAAGTGACATTCTAAAAAAAATACCAATGAAGTAATTTGTTAGCATCAAATGTCTTATTCACAAATATTTATAATAAAATTTTGGAGAGCATTTCAACTTGAATGTGTTTTAAAATAAAAGATGATTTTTACATCCTCAGGCGTGTATTAGTAGTACTGAATTCTATGAAAATTAAGTAAAAAAATTGGAAATTTTCCTTGTTTAAAAAAAAATCATGCAGTATAATATATAAAAAGCTACTACATTAGCATAGTACAAAATTAAAATTATTTATTACAAAATAATTTCAGTAAAATCTTAATTTTGGAATAATTATAATTAAATAATTATGTTGTTATTGTTTTTAGCAGTAGTTTTGTTCATAATGAATTTTGATTGTGTTTGAATGTTAAATGTTATTATTGTAAAGCATTTATTTTCTCTACCCAGTAAGTCAATTAAAAAATATTCCAAAGGCGTAATAAATTCGCTAGTGATCTGGACCTCTGCCAATTCATTATCAAAAAATCTTGTATCGAACAAAATAAATTATTCATATTATGCGTCTTTAGATTTTCAGGAACTCTTCAGATGAGTACTTAGTCAAGGTGAGAGTCACTATATTTATTTACTTAAAATCTGATCGAATCATTATTTCCTCAAAACTACGAACAAGAAATCCGCAGTTAAAAATTCACATTGTTATAAATTATGTGGAAAGTTATATGAATATACATTTTATATGATTAAAATTGTCTTTTTGTTATATAAGATGCATACGTTACATAATTTTTCCTATAAACATAATATATGCGAATTCTTATTGCGAATAGGAAAATAACAGAAATTTTGCTTTCGCTGACATTCTAAAGACGACATTTAAATTATGTATAATTAAACTTGTTAAATTAATTGTATAACCAATGAAAAATTGCATTTTCCGGTTAGATAAGAAGATCAGTTACTCACTTCTATTTCCATTCTATGTTGAACTACATAAGTTCTTGATAATATTTTTCTAAAATTGTATATAATACATGGCTTACAGAAATCAAGATTTAGCAAAATAAAAATAGTACGGTGTTTTAACACTTCCTTATGTATACAAATTTGAAAAAAATTAATTAACACTTAAAATTAGTAGTACTTTTTATAGTTGTAATATATCTATATAGAAAGAATTGATGATTGAATTAACTAATATTATATTATTATTATGATTAAGTTATTATTAATAAGCCGAGTAACAAATATACAAACATTATTAGCAAAAGTGCGAGTGTTTGGATGTTTTCTACTTACAGAGTAACTTAAGAGTTAATATTACAGGTAACGCCCAAAGTTCTATCTACGATATAAGAAATGATTTTCAAATATTTTGAAATTTGATCTGAAAATACTGTAGTAATAGTAAGTAATAAGATATTAAAAAAAGAAATAAAAAGTATAGAGAGTTCTAAAACTTGAAATGTTCAAACTTTTGGCTAAATCGGCAAAATTGTTAAAATTGTTAAAATTGTTACCTTGATAATTTCTATATCAGAAACGTATATCAAATATAATGTTCAAATATATGAAATATATTAGCAAAATCTTAGGTTAGGTATAAAAATGATTTTGTGTTATAAAATCAAATATAATAAAAATAATAGTTGGTAATGCCCTAGGGCTGGTCCCTAAGATGAGTTAAACTTCAACTCGATTCAGGAAAGAATAGTGTGACGGATTTTCTATTGGCTTTTCACACCGTAGTGCCTAAAATCGGCTTATTCACAATTGGAAATATATTAAAGTATAATGAAATATAACAGTAATTAACTGCATGGTTCTGAGAAAAATATTTATCTTAATATTACTAATATATTAGTACTATCTGTATCACTCTTAGTGATCAGATTTTCAAAATTCATCAGTTTAAATATGTCAATTAATACGTCTTTTACTTATGTATGAATTCAACAAATCTAGTTTTCATTTATTTTCCTTTATAATGTGAAACACATAAATAACAAAGTAACATTCTTAAGATTTCAAAAGTATTCTTTTATTCATGTGTGCCGACGCAATACTGACGAAGCTATGCTAATCAATCGAAACGTTATGTGACTAACATACTAAATTAGATGTACAATAATGACTACTGACACACTAAATGATGATGAGCGAATAAATGAAATATATTTATGTGAAAATGAATGCACTTTCATTATATATGTTGTTAATAATTGGTAGGGCGAAATTCTCTGTTTTAAAAAAAAATTGGCTAAAATATTGACTAAAATTGACCCTACATTGATTTTCAATATAATATTTCATATAAAGCAATATACTTAAGTTTGTTATACCAAATTAAATTTTACATCTTGTCATATTAATATCCGGTAGTATAAATTCAAATCAAAGTGCAAATTTCAAACCAAATTCGTAAAAATCTTAAGTAATATTCAACAATAATTGGAAATTTTATGATTTTTTATAATATATGTTTGTTACCACAAATAAGTATGGATTGAATCAAACTCTTAGCCTTCATTCAGAAAAAAAACATAGTATTCTAATATTATAAATAAATCTAACATTATTATTGGCATTACACTATGGTATAACAAATGTGCACTATTACTAGCTATTGCAAAACAAGTATTATTAAAAATTTAGCAACTATTTAAAATTACATTTTTAGCTTGTGCATAGATTCATCTACATTAATTCCCGTATTAAATAATTCTAATTCTTTGTCATGTTTATATTACAAAATCATACCTCTTTAAATTCTCTACTTTCTTTATAATTTTGATTACTAATTTATAATATTAGGATACTACTTATTGTTATTTTATATAGGCTAGAATTTTTACTGAAATGTACAAAATGTAAATATTGTTTTTGTTTTTACATTAATTGAGCAGCGCCCGATTCATTTCTGATATCTATAAATATTTAGAGTTATGATTAGAATTTCCTTAATACTGGTGTACATAGAATAAAAAAAATTATTTAATATAACGATTAAACGCGTAGCCTGAACGGGGTCCCCCCCCCTTCTGAACAACCTGACATCGTGCAGCAGCGATATCCGTTTTCACTTGAAAATATATTTTAAAAATGTGTAAAAATTCAATTAAAAATAGCGGTGTCAAATAGCAATGGGAAATTTTCACACTATATTTCCCTGAATTAAGTTGATTTTAACCCAGCTCACAGACCTGCTCTAAGGCAGTAGAGGAGACTGGGTATGGTTGTACCACTTTTATTATCAGTTATAATTTTGTTATTTTAATTTAGTTAACTGAGAGAAAAGTAAATTAAATGGTAATTCATACGTTAGTCAATATGAAAATACTAAAATGCTGTTCTTAAATATAATAGATTTGTTATAAAATCCCCGCAAACGGTTGTGACAGGCATAAAAATAGGTTAAAAACATTAAGTATAAACACCAAAATGGTTTATAATGACTTGTATTGTCGTTAATAACAGTAATCTGTAATACAACACAACATAAACATTCAAACAAAGATTATGAATAAAATGTAACAATATATAATAAAACAGAATTATCAAAAATTCTTTGTGAATTTTCTACTTTTCTTCTTGTATTGAATTTTCCTTTTTCATACTTTTTCCTATTTTGTGTTAGTTAAATTAGGTTTTTTTTTAATTTGTTTAATCTTAGGGTAATAAATACATATCAGACCGTACCCTAAAATTTGTCACAACCGTACCCAAAGCCCACTTTTGAAAACTAATCATTATGTCAGAGCTAAATTATCTAAGCAAAAACTAATTGCTGATAAATAACTACTAATGTTCAACTTACAACAAAATGACAAAGTAATTTATCTATATACAAGTAACAGTTATTATTAAAATAAATCCAACAAAAAAACTTACTTCTGGCTCATTAAAAGTAATTCGGTCTACAGATCATATTAATGTAGGGCGCTAACTCAATACAATAATGGAATCTTGTTCGAGCCATTATACTTCGTCTTTCTCCCTTTGGACCTTATCTTAAAATCAGTA